AATAACTCTCTTAAAAGGGGTTAGATTTTTCCCCCTCGAATTAAGGGTGTATTTCCCTATAATCGGTAACACCCAGATGGAGACCATTTTGGCCAGGTTAGCATGGAAACACAACACATGAGGATCAAATTTGTTCTCATCCTGTTTTGGCAAAATAAATGAGTAGTTTAGGCTTTTACATTTAAAAATGTCAAATTATTAAAGTAATTGCACTGGTTCAATAGATGATGAGGATTTATCAGACCAGTGATGTTTATCTAATTGGGTTGAAAAAATCTTTAGGGCAGAAAAACGTTTCTAAAGTGAGTTTAAATTAAATGATATATCAAAGATGTATGATAACAACAAATATTGATCAATTGTCAATATTTCTTCCACTTTTTGGGATTTTTTTTTCATTAATCCAATGTTTAAATGCATCAAACTCAGAAAATCTTTCCTTTCTGGTCTGATTATGAGAAAACTTTGACATTCACAAGGCTAGTTAAACACATAATAAGGACAAAAGTTATTTAAATAACTCACACCTGATATTTTCCATTTTGTGAGTTTTTCCACTTCGGTCAGTTTCTGGGAGTCGTTTATTTCCTGCCATCAATGTCACATGTCCCTCAAACCGTCAGTAGTGAAATGTGAATTAAAAAAGCTAAATTTTCAGCTTTTGTTATTGTTTGTCTTAAAAGATGCTGCCATCTTTCCCCTCAAGAGGAGCCATGGTGACCATGGAATTCTGGGCCTGTGTTCCGCAAGCTTCTTAGAAGCATTTCAGATACTTTGTATCTTTTCCTGAAAACCATGTAATAGGAGTCTTAACTTTAAAACAATTATTGAGGACCACTCACAGAGCAACTCTTCGTAAGTGTCATGGTTGGGGTTACGCGCTTGACCCACATGCAGAAACACAAGGAATCAGGTAAATCAAGTTTATTCTCCTTTCAAAAAAAAGAGGAAAAAACCAGAATAATGTCTTTGGTTGGGTAAATGTTTTCTTGGGGAAAACTGGATCGGAATCGTCTCAGTGCTGGGGGCCAGGAAGAGGAGAGGTAATGTGGGTTGGAATCCACCTGATCCGGGAACGGGCTTACTGAATGAGGTGAGGTTCATCCGCCAGGGGGTTTAACTCAGGTTGGGTCCGGAGCCTTGGATGCGGACGGGAGGGCGGAGGAGTCAGGTCCGGACCCGAAGGTCGGAGGATCTTCAGCGGTGACGGACAGGGTCGAGTACTCAGCGTCACGAACGCGCACCTGTATGCGGGGAAAACACGAGAAGATTACTCAGGTTGGGTCTTTCGGATTAAACTCAGAGAAGTCACTCTGGGGCTCTGGGTACCATTACTGGTCAACACTCTGGCGCCGGAGAAGCCGCCGCCCGCTCCTCTTATGCTGGTGATGATTGTGCCAATTACGCACCGGTGCGCGAGAACCGCCCTTCAGCCAACCGTAACCTCCTGGCTCCTCCTGCTGGGAAAAAGGCTCCCCACAAGGCTAGACCTCCAAACCCAACATGCTCTTCTGTTTTCCAACAGACCTGGCTGAGTCTGCCTCCCTCCTTCTGCTCATGTCTCTTCTTATCGGGGACTAAGAAGAGATAAGGATGTACCGATAAGATAAAGGGGTTTTCCTTTGATTTAGTTCAATGTCATAAAGCCAGTTTAAACCGGACTCATTATCAGTTTGGATTTGCCTCTGCTGGTCAAAAGAAAAACTACATAATTTCAATCAAATGAAAACCAAACACTTTTTTCACTCTGAAAATCCTCAAACCACAATTTTTTTTCCCTTTAGTTTTCGAGCTCTTTTCTTTAAATCCAGTTTAGCCTTTACTTCCTGCTGGACTGTTGTGTTTTCCACCTTCAGCAGATGAAAACAGGACCACATGGAAGAAGCCTTTGGTAACAGCAGCTAAACGGGTTCCAACCCGTGGAGGTCAGAACCCAACACAGCCCCAAACTCTGATTAGCTCTGGGTAACCGGTTCCACCCCAGAGAACGCTAACAGCTGGGGGTTCTGCCTGCCCTTCTACTGATACTCTGTCAGAGCCAAAAAGGACACCTGCTGTCTGAGGGGGGGTTTAGGGGGATTCATGTGTTCCTTTGAAGGTTTTCAGAGTCACTGCTCCTTGGTCATTTCATGCTCTGGAGCTAGAGTGAAGGACAGCCACTAATATTCCCATCAGACACTCAGGGTGTTCCTGATGTTGACCAATGACATGAGCAGCTCCTCCAGACCTGTTTTATGGAGAATAAGAACATGTTCTGTTCTACGTTCCTCACCGTCCTCCTAAACTCCAGAGCTGTTCAGTTTATCTGCATGGTCAGACGTGTTTGTGGACAAAAAGCTGAGGTCTCAGGCTGCTTTTAGTGCTGCAGAGTTTATTATTGTCCTCCTCCAGGATGGAACACACAGGGATTTTTTTCTCAGAGTAATCAAAGGCAGTGATTATCCTAAACGGCTGCTTTCATCTGAGCAGAATGAAGGATCCAGTTTGGATCCCTTCAGATGTAAAACAGCCTTCTCTGCGTCTGGCTGTGCACTCTGTGTTGTTTCCAGGCTGGACCGGGACGCTGCAGCGTTATGCCCAGAGCACTGATAGGCCGTCTGTCAGCACCTGCTGCCCCCTATTGGAAAGGCTGGAACCTCCTCTAGCAGGTGGAGATGACTGCTCTAAAGCCTTTCTTAAAGTGTAGATGCAAAGTAAAGGAGAAGCAAAGCCCTGCAGAGGGCTGTTTCCAGCTCCAGCTAAAGGTCAGACGGCCTCTGAAGGTTTAGTAAACTGAATTTTACAGAACAGTAACATCACTTAACTGACAATGCCTCAATGTTTAAGTGTCTTTTATCTTTAAGATCTCATTGTGCACAAAGTATTTCACATCTATCCAGGTCCTCTGCTGAAGAGCAGGAGATGATTTCTTAATGCACATGATGCATTCGTATTTTTCTGGCACTTTCCGCATCGCTACAAAGCTGGTCATAAATGGCTGAACAGCCATTTTCTCCTGCTGAGTCCATGGGATCTTTCCTTTAGTTTCCACGGGACCTAAAAAATAATAAACAGCTTTAAATATTTTCAATATGCAAGACTAAATACAATTTCCCAAACAAAAGACATGCACATTTCACAAATTAGCATTTTTGGACACTATATTTTCTTCATCACTTGTCTTAAAGAAATAATTAATTTACTACATCAAAAATGATCTAGAGTCTTTTCTTATTTCGATGATCTTAGCTTAAACGGCGGCATGATGAAGTCTTTCAGCTCATCTACATGTGGCGTCTCAATTTCTTGACAATATTGGGCTTCTGAAAAGGCCAATTTGCTGGACAAACAAGCACAATAAAAGCATTGTTTTTTTAAGTAGCTTTTGGTACCTTTGGCAATGAGGGCTGCTACCAAGTGCTGCTGAAAAATTAAATCAGCACCACTGTAAAGGCTGGGAAAAAGAGGAGGCATGATGTTCTCCAACATGTCCTAATAGATGGCTGCATGTACTTGATAAAACCAAGAGGACCAAAACCAGTTAACGACATGGCTCCACACTCATAACTAAATGGAAGCTTCACATCAGACTCATCACTGTGGATTCCATTTTTTTTTTCTTCCTCCAGACTCTGGGACCTTGATTTTCAAATAAATGGAAAACATTTTACCTGAAATTAGCACTCTGTGCACTCTGAACTGTCCAGTTCTTTCTTCCCTGAGCCCAGGTAAGAAGCTTCTGGCTTCATAATCACCATCATCTCTTGATCAGGAGTAGCTCAACATGAGGAAACCTACACTTGTAGCCCATATGCAGGATTTCTCTCCAGCCTCAGCCCAGGCTTAGCGCCATCCTGCCTGCTTTTCTTGGTGGCTATTCTGTTCAGTGGGGAGTTAACCCTGGCCACCTCTGATATTTGATTTTGTTCATGTGTAATAGAGTTCAACACATCTTAAGCTGAAAGAAAACTCCATAGTATGTTAAACATTTTCCCCCTCATAAAATAGTCTTGTTAGTTTGTTTCAGTCAATCTTAAATTAACCTGTTTATTCGTACAGTGCCTATTCACAACAGAAGTAAAAAGGTGCTGTACAAGAGTCAAATTTAAATAGTTCCTACCACAATCAGCAACCACCCCTTGTTTGGTTCTCATCTTTGATGGGGATTGAGCTCTCAGCATCATCTGGAAATGAAACCTTTATATATTAAAACCATTCTGAACAACACCTGCATTCCCATAGACATTAATAACCCTCTTTTTCATCACTCTCCTTGGTATAAAGTTTAGTTGAACCTGGTCCTTCAATCAGTTCCCGTTCAGGTGACAGATCAAACTGTTCCCTGTCTAATAGACGAGCTTAAATGAATACTTATTAACCAGGATAAAACTTTGAAAACAAAGTTAATCAAATGAGTTAATCAAATGGAATGGTTAAAGTACATTTGATTAACTGCATAGGCATAAATTAGATGTTTCATTAATAAATTACTTCTGACAGATCCCTCTGTATATGATGATCTAGAAACGGTTCAGTGTCTCAGTATATTGGCCTTTTTGCAATAGAAACAATAATGGATTTGATCC